TCAGGAGGATCGAAAGAAGAGGCTGGCATTGGAAAAGGAGATGAGGCAGATAACCATGAGAATAAAAGAATTAGAAGAAAGCCCCACGCCAGTGCAAGAAAAGATCATTATGGAAGAAGTGGTCAAGCTAGAGAAGGATCCCGTTCTTGAGCAGTCCGCTAGCAGCCTGCGGATAGAGTTGGATGACGAGAAGATGCAAGTGCTGAACCTGCAGAGAGAATGTAAGAACCTGCAGGTGAAGGTTGATATTCTGCAGAAAACTAAGTCCCAGGAGAAGACCATCTACAAGGAAGTCATCCGAGTAGAGAAGGACAAAGTGCTAGAGAATGAACGTGCCCGGGTGTGGGAGCTGCTGAGCCGGGAGAGGACAGCTAGGCAGAATGCAGAAGAGGAGATACGGCGACTCAGGGAGAGGATCGAGAGAGCTGAAGGCATGAAGAGGACCTGGGCACGGGAGGAAGCAGAGCTCCAGAAAGCGCGGAGCCTGGCGATCCAAGAGCGAACCACCCTGGAGGGTGAGCTGAGAGAGCTGGAAAGGCAGAAGCAGCAGAAAGTACTCTTCCTCCGAGAGGAGTCCAAGCTGCTGAGCCAAAGGACGGAAAGCGACAGGCAGAAGAAGATGCAGCTGGAGCATGAGCTTTCCCTCCTGGAGTCGGATATCCTGAGGGAGAAGGACCAGATTTATGAGAAAGAGAGGTCCATCCGGGAACTGCAGTCCAGGGTGAACCGGGAGGAAATAAGCCATGAGACCCAGATGAGGGAGACCAATCTCTCCACCAAAATCTCCATTTTGGACCCTGAGACTGGGAAGGACATGTCTCCTTATGAGGCCTACAGGAGAGGCATCATAGACAGGAATCAGTATATCCAACTGCAAGAACTGGAGTGCGACTGGGAGGAAATCACCACCCTTGGCCCCAGTGGAGATGTCTCTGTCCTCCTTGACAAGAAGAGTGGGAAGCAGTACTCCATCGAGGATGCTCTGAGGTCCAGGAGGATCACTAAGGAAGAGTACCAGCTGTACAAAGATGGCAAGATCCCAATCTCTGAGTTTGCCCTGCTTGTAGCAGGGGAGTCCAAGCCACCCCAGTCTCTGTCAATCGGCTCCATTATCTCCAAGTCTCCGCTCTCCTCACCAACCACCCAGCAAACTCAAACCTTCTTTCCTCCAAACCCACAGAAAAGCTTCTGTGATGACAACTTTCCCATCGCTGGGGTGTATGACACTACCACAGACACAAAGTTCAACATAAAAACTGCTGTCACCAGGAAGATGCTGGACCCCATGACAGCTCAAAAGCTTCTTGAAGCTCAGGCAGCGACTGGGGGCATTGTCGATTTTCTTTCGCGGGATCGGTACTCTGTCCACAAAGCCATCGATAAAGGGCTGATTGACAGAACCTATATGCAGAGGCTGCTGAATGCCCAAAAGGCTTTCACAGGCATCGAAGACCCAGTGACCAAGCGGAGGCTCTCAGTTGGAGAAGCAGTTCAGAAAGGGTGGATGACCAAGGACAGCGCCTTCCCCTACCTGGAGGTCCAGCACCTAACCGGAGGACTCATTGATCCCAAGAAAACTGGTCGCATCCCAGTGTCAGAAGCTGCCCAGACAGGCATGATTACCGATGACCTGGCCAAAATGCTCCATGACGAGTCCAACTACGAGAAGGATCTGGTCGACCCCGTCACCAAAGAGAAGATGAATTATAAGGAAGCCATGACTCGCTGCCGAAAGGATGCCCGGAGTGGCCTCTTGCTCCTCCCTGCCATCTCTGAGGGGTTTCAGTCTTACCGCTCAGTGAGCCATTCTCCAAAACTGTCCCGGTTCGGATGGTAGAGTTCACAGATGGACAGACTGCCTAGTATGTAAGGGTGTGCAGTCTTATACTTAGCTATTCACGGGTGCCAGTTACTGGGGCAACCTAACATATAGGAAGGAGGCCGGCATTCATCAGGGTGGCAGGGTTCTCGCACTAGCCTCTAGATGCTGTTTTGCCAGGAGCGGTGACTCTTTAGAGAAAATGTGCTTCCGATAGCTTCAGATCTGTGACTTCAGTGGGGACATATAGCGGCGTGTTTCCAAGTTTGGCCATTTCTTATGCATGCAATAAAACTAGAAATTGTCTCCAGCATTGCTGTTATCTGTGAAAACTCAAAAGGTCTCTCTCCTTCAGCATAGGGCTGTCAACCAAAGATCTGCTAGTTGACAACCCTGTATCTTAAGCACTTAATGATTTCAATAGTATTTTTTCACCTTAAAACTAGGCCCTGGGTACCATTTTCATAAGGGCCTGAGGCACTTGAGAGCGAAGTCGCTGGGATTTAGACTTTGCAACATTGAGTGAATCAATGCCAAAATAGCTCTGAAAATCTGAGCCCGATTGCATTACGTCCCTTTTGTAAATGGAACTTAGGTTCCTAAATCCCACTGGCCTTCTGTCAGTACCACTTGCAAAACTCAGCCTCTGCTGAAATGAAAGAGTCCCTTCTTTTGCACTTTGCTATCCAGAGACAATGACCTGCTCCTACTTTGTCCCTAAGTGTACAAGAATCCTGTGGCTTCTATGGGCTTTCCCTCCGCTGGGCTACTCTTCTTCCCATCTACACCATGGGCCCACCAATATCTCCACTGATATTGTATTTAATCTAATTCTTCCCCGAAACAATTGATTTCAATTAAAGGAAACTGACTCTTTAGCAGTATTTTGGCATGGGGGCGGGGAGTATAGCTTGTCATCACATGGGGCTGGAAGATGGCAATGCAAGATGAAGCTGACAGTTTGCCAACAGCTAAGTACCCTTTTCTGCTGCTTCTCTCACAAGCTCCTGCTTGGATTCAGATCTCTCCTTAGGATTTACTGTAACGAGTGCTTGAGTCTTGTGAAGCGGAGAGAAGGGGTAGAGCAGTTGATAGGCATTCATTTAATGAGTGAAATGGGATACTGGTGTGCTAAATGACCCCCATGAGCTCATCTTGGACGCAGTGGTTTTAAGACTCTTTTAACACAAGCTCCTTTTCAGTCAGCTTCTACCTCAGCCCAAGCCCACGAGTTTCTCCATCTGGCTTTTACAGCCCTGCAGGTTCCCAGCAAGCTTTCAACCAGCTAATCAGAGACCCAGTTCCCTTTCTAAAGCAGCTTTAGGGTGGCTACCCTTCTCTCAGCTGCCTTACAGGGCTTTCTAATCATAAGGCTGCTTTTCTGAGGACACTGCAGTTGCTCCATCATCTCTCAACAGTCCTGGCCGGGTGAGTTTGCTTTCAGCCTTTCTTTCAGCTCATCTGTGGGAAGGGAGCTGAAAACTCCTGTTCTCCTCATCCCTACCCTGCTCCTACAGTGGCCTGTTGATGGAGCGTGCCTCAACTGGTATTTCTTTTAAAGCAATGTGGGTGTCGCACAATTATTCTTTTCATGAAGGCTGCTTAAGTAGGATTGGGGAACACTGTGTAATTAAGTGAATGCAAGCTTTGTTAATTAGGTAGTAAATCCTTAATTGCTGTGTATAGTTGGGGTTTAGGGCTGGAAGTCACGGGACTTAAGTTTGGTCACAAAGAGGCAGTGTGCTGAAGCTGACTGATGCGGTCTTCAGTCCCCTTTGCCAGGGTTAGGTTTGAAGCTCATTAGTAGCAGGCCTCTCTTGACCCCAGGCATTCCCAATCAGCAGCAGACAGTTTGTGGAACCTGAATAAAAGCAGCAGCCTCACATTACCACTTCAGATGTTTCTATGGGGTCACAAGCTCCCTGCAGCTAAAGACTTGGAAACCATGTGTAAACTGCCCCAAGAAAGAATGGCTAATTTTGAAAATTCAGATTCTTTTCTTGATCCTGAAACCTGTGGGCATGACAGCAGCTTCTCAGGTTCCCCACTCAGAGTAACCTGCCAATCACCCTGCCTATCAGGGGGACTACTTGAAAGTGTTTGACTGTCAAGCTGCATTGCGTGATTATGACTGGCCAGATGACTCTCAGTGGTATTGTTTCTGCTTCTGGACTGCACGACTGTGGACATCTTTAAAATGTTCATAGAAACATTTTTTACCAGGAAAACGTGATTGTTCAAATGTCCACGGAAAGCAGACAGAGCACTGTCCAAACAAACAGAGCTCAAAATTTGACGTCCTGGTTAAAAAGAATCCTTTTGCTACAATTCATCCCTATCTACTGAGCATTGTGCCTCAAAAAGCTGGTAGTATATAGAGGAGACGTCACTGAAATATAGCAATATCCCAACTATGTAACACAAGCTTAGCTGCAGGGTTTTGAGAGCTGCAGGAAGTACTTGGCCATCACCCTCTTGTTAACAAAGAATAGACTGAAATGCATTAATCCTGAAATGTTGGCAGCTGCTTCCTTGATGTTCTCTAACAATAATGCTTTTTAAAAATCTAATTTTGGAAATGAGAGGGCTTAGGCATCCCCACTGGCTTTTAAGTCCCCAGTGTAACTACAAGAATTATGGGTGGCTATGTGGAAAAGGTCAGTTGTTCAGTGTTGTTTTTCACCGGAGAAAGATGGCTAATAGCTCCTCCTGGTGTATCGCTGCAGTCCAGGCATCTGTTGTAAGTCAGAAAAATGTTGCAAGAGAGGGAAATTACAGAAAAACTTTTGCTGTTGAATTTGGTCATCGGAGCCTCTCTGGTCCCCTTCATAAGGGGAAAGAGCAAACTACGGAGCAAAGAAATCATCTGAATCCAGTGTGTCTCAGTAAATCAGATTTCAGTCTTCATTGGCTTGTACTAGTTTTCATTGCAAAGAAACCTAGTTCCTTCATGCAGCTGCACTGCTGGCCCTGTGGAAGGATCTTTAGGTAGCCTCTTCCTGTCATTGTACAACACAGTATGGATGATACTGCAGCAGTTACCAACACAAAGGGTTTGGGGAGGGGAAAGAAGAGTGACTGGAGAAGGTGACAGTATATACAGGACCTGACCAACGTTGGCTTCTTTTCCCCTGGCCCATGTGAGCAACTAACCCAACTGAGGAGTCAATGAAACGTTCAATAAAATTTCTGAACAATCCCAAGTTTTTATTTTTTCGAATGCAGAAGGGAATTCTGCATCCAAAGTTAACAATAAAGCTCTTCTGAAAGGAGAATGGTGAGAACTTTTCAAAGCCGAACAGTGGTATTTCATATGGAACATCTTGCAACAGCAAGAGGAAAATGAGGATTCTCCAAAACTGCATTACTTGACTTTTCCTAGTCTTCAAATGCTTTTGACTACCCCTTTTAGCAAGTGGAAGGTCATTCTAGACTACTTTAACAAGGAATTAAAACTCCTAACAATTTAAACACAGCGACTCATCAATGCTAATGATGCCCATCCTTATTAATAGCGGTAAATGGTGGTGTGCATGGACCCCACTTGCCCTGAACCGAGGTCAAAGACTTCCTAATGTTTGGAAACTAAGCCAACAAATCTCTTTGCAACATCTGAACCACAGTAGTAAGTAGGCAGTAAACAGGTGCTGGAGAGAAAATCTACACTGCACTGGGCACTGCTGGCCAAGGGATACAAGCATTTCAAAGCTAGTCTCTATTGTGAGTCTCCTGTTTTCCCAAGGATGGTGCCATCAGCTCTGTCCCCATCACGAGTAACTACCTCACAAAGACAAACTAACGTAACTTAGACCAACACTGCTTCGCAACAGGCTGAGAGCATCCAAAAATGAGAACTACCCCTCCCTTTGGGTTTTTGTAAAACACAGGCATTTTAAATGTAGGCACTTTCCCTGCTAAGTCACCAAAGAGGCCAAATGTGCTGACACAAAGAGCTCTGCGTTAGGATGCAATGCTTTCTACACACCTATAAATCTATCTGTAGTGTCTCTGCAGCCCACATTGGTTTTTGATGTTGTGAGGGCTTTGCTGAAAGAAGTACTGGTGATTCAGGGCTGCTTTGGCTGAAATGCGCCTGCTGGGGTCATAAAGGAGCAATTGCTGCAAAAGAAAACCAAGAGGATATTTTTAAAAAATGTTTAACATTATCACAAGATTATTAACATCCTTATGCTAAATGCAAAAGCTCTTGAGTACTGCAAGCCTGTGGCATTCTCCTCTAGCCTCAAAAGGGGGTAGGTAGCCTTTTACGGTGTCTTTTATTTGATGACCCCAAAGGCCTTCATAATCAAATGGGGTAAAATTCCAGTTGAGTCAGATATACTGATATCCCATTTTACAGATTGAGGAAAGAAAAGGTAAGTGATTAGCCTAGGATAACTTAGCGGCAGTGTGGAATACAACCTAAATTAGTTCCTCTATAGAATTCCCAACCATCAAAGCACACTTTCCCAAGTATTTGAAAAAAATACATACATTAGAAAGCCTGCTATGGACCAGAGCCATGGCCTCCGCCTATCTGAGTTTAATTAGCCCAGGCACCCTGTGTTCCTTTTAGTATGGCTTGAGCACATGCAGGGGGAGAACCTGCTCCAGATAAACACATGTAGGCCATGTTGCTACTGTTCTACTATATGGGACCACTGATCAGTACTTTATACATCCCTGCCCACTATATAGCCCCATGACCTTCCATTCAAAAATACCTGACAAAGGAACACCAACTGGTTTACCCACTTGGTCACCTAGCAGGTTCCACTAAGTGATGGTAATTTTAGAGGCATAGGATTCTCTTACTGTATGCTGCCCAAGGGAGAAAATCTCGTGACCATAGCTTGAGATAAATGCAGCCTTCCTGCAACACATTGCAATGTAACAGTTGGCAACCTAAGTCAATAGCTCTGATGCTGAAGATGAGAACAAGCTTCTATACAGTTACTTTACCTTCTGGTGAAAAAACATAGGTGCATTTTCCAGTGCATGAGCTATAGTGACCTTAATAACAGGGATTATACAGGATAAAACCCACTGCTATTCTAACATTTCTGAGCCCTTTGGTTTTAGGTGCCTGGTTTTAGGTTTCAGGTGCATGGAGATGGGCAGTAAAAGACTTTTAATAGAAGAGTTTTATAGATTCGGATTAAGAGACCCTTATGAACATTAATTGGACCACCTACATAATGCAGACCATAGCCCTTCACTCAGTGACTTATGTATGCAGACTAGTAGAATTAATCCCTTTTCCCAAACTGCATCTTTTGTGGCCAAGAGATTAAATATATAGCAGCAGACTGGGGGCAGGGGGAACCCACAAATGCAATCTGCATGTGTGTAACTTCAGCCTGAAATTCTCTCTCTTTTCTGCCACACCTGAAAGGTTTGACATCAGTACCTGCTCCGCCCCTTTCCCCTGCCACTCACCGCCAACAGGTCTCTTCCATCCCGGTCCAGATTGGGAACGATTTCCTTCATCTCTCTCCTGGTCCATATGGGAAAGTCCCTTTTATAGTCAGGAAGCTGGGTTACCCCTGGCCACGTGGCCTCAGTGGGCGTGCCCAGGATGCGGAAAATCCGGAAGAGCTGGTCGATTTCGGAGTCCCCGGGAAACAAGGCTTTTCTAGTGACCTGGGAACAACACACATTGCTCCTTCATGCCTACGTGGCTGCCTTTAAGCAGCTTCCTGATCAGAACAGTATTCAGCTGTGATGGGATGCTCATAATACCCCTGCTGCAAGGGCTCACAACTCAGGAAGGACGTTGTGACCCTGAAAACAGTGCAGTAAGTTTGGGAGAGTGAAAGAAGGCTATGCCTGCCTTTCCTCTTTCCATTTCTCCTCCACTTGTTCTTCTTTTCCATCCACGTGTGCATACAGACACACTCTTGTGCACATGTGCACACACACACTCTTCCTGATCCCCTTCTGTCCCCAGCACTCCTGCAAGGCAGCTGCCTTCCATGGACAGCTCTGTTCCCTAACAACTTCTCCAGCTTCTCTTACACAACAGCACCTTCTAGTGGTAGCAGCATCTTACTCCCTGTTTCAGGCCTTGCTAGGAAGAACCTGGGTATCTATGGAAGCAGGAAGAGCTAACCCCATATGAGTGAAGCTCCAGCTCTCTGCAGGCTATGGTGTGAGGACCATGGGTACAGGGGAACTGCATCTCTGTAATGCAGTCATCCTGCTGCAGCCAGCTGCTAGGAACAGGTACCCAAGCAGTGATAATGAAATCCACCATTGCTCAGAAGGCAAACACAGAGCTCACATGGGGTTTGAAGTGGTAGCTCAGTCTAGGGTGACCACCTTTTCAAAAGGAGAAGGCAGGACGCATGCCTGCCTCCCCCCGGCAGTGCCGGACCAGATGCAGCCTGCCAGCTGAGGGCTACCTGCCCTGCTGCCTTTCCTTTAGGTGCCCTATGCTGGCTGTGCACATCCTGTCCACCCAGCAGTAGGAGGCACAGATCCACTCCGCTGCCCTTGATGCTGCTGGGTGGGCAGGAGGCACCTTGCCATGGCAGCACAGCCAGCAGAGGGCTCCTGGGGGGAGGGCAGCAGGGCAGGCATCTGCCCCTGCCCCGTGCACAAATCTGGAATGGCATGTGCCCCCCATGGCCCCCACCCCCTTGAAGATCTCCATCCTGTTCCCTGCCCCAGCCCCATGTACTGCCCTGGCTGGGCAGCATACCCAGTCCCTGCCTCACTCCCTCACTGTGGGGGCCTCGAGCTGCCCCCACCCCCCTCAGACTTACCTGCAGGGAGCTGCTCTCCATGCTTCCCAGCTGTATTCCCAGCCACGTGCATGTGTGCAGGCACGCACATGCTTGTGGTGTTTCCTGCGTCCCACTCCCAGCAGCCCCTTACAGGCTGGAACACTGCCAGCCTGAAAGGGGGAACCCATCATTTCCCATGGATCCCTGCATGAGGCTGCAAATCTGGGACAAATGCTATCCCGGAGTCATGCAGCCTGGGATCGTGAGCTGAGGTTCCCATTGCAGAACTGTTCTGCCCAATTAGGGACAGGTGGTCACCCTACCTCAGTCCTGTACTCGCCCCACACCACAGGCTGCATGTGTTGACACTGCTGCCCTCCTGGTTGCCTTTCTTGTGAACAGAGTGTATTCTGTCTTACCCAGGACAGTGATTAAAAGTATAAACTGGACCATTAGGAGTTAAACACACTGTACCATTTCTGCAAAGATACAGCCAATGCTCCAGATGTCCACCGCAGTTGAATAGTATTTACATCCCAACAAGATCTCTGGGGCCCGGTACCACAAGGTCACTACCTGCAGGAAACCAATTTTCATCGTCAGGCAAGCAAGGTTCCCTGTGTTTGGCATGGGCAGTTCCAGCATTAATCTGTGTCCTCTCCATCCGTGTAAAGGGTCAGCAGACACATGAACTGTGCAATCAGAGCATGGCATTTAAATGCCCAACACAAAGGTAGTTATTGATAGGCACGCTGGAGGATAATCTATGAATTTCTACAAAATTGGAGAATTTAAACAAAACAGATTAGCTAAGAAGACAGACAGAGGTACTGAACTGAGGCACCGTTGACGGGACGGGACCCTAACATTACCTCATGCGTGTAAGTGCGCAAAGGAACTCCGAAGGCTCTCGCCAGACCAAAATCTGCCAGCTTGATGGCTCCAACTTCATTGATAAGCAGGTTCTGAGGCTTCAGGTCTCTGTGAATGACTCGGTGCGAGTGACAAAAGTTCACACCCTGCAGCAGTTGGAACAGGTAGCTCTACAGAGGGGAGATTCCAGACACAGATGCAGTTGGACATTGTGGAAGATTTGGGTGTCTTAAATTAGCATCCTTAAAACAGGGGAGTCCTCTAAGCATGTGGGCAGCACCTCTTTGGAAAATACTGCATTATAGCAATGCAACCCCTGACAGTTCAACCCCAGTCAGACTTGCTACACGGGGAGTAGGGAATCAAATGTCAGTGGTGATACCAGAGGCACAACCAATATTTCAGTGCTCAGCATACTAACTATTAGCAGCTCTCCTGAATACACTTCCACCTTCAGTTTGTGGTCAAGCAAGCTGAGAGGACTAGAAGTGGCTGGGAAAATTAATATACTGAAAGGTAATGCCTAGAGGGTTTTCTCTCCTCCCTACTCCCCCACAAGATGCACCAGGTTTAGTCACCCTGGGTCTCACCTGCCAAGTTAAGACACTGCAGCTCTGAGTGACTTCTGCATTGGAACTGGTCCCTTATGCTGGGAGCTTAAGGAAAGTCTCTAACAAGATCTAACAAATAGCTGAGCAGTTCTGATTCCCACTGGTAGAAGGCAGCAAGTCTCAATGCTGCCCACGGGCATTTCGCCCAGGGAGCGCTCCAGCTTCATGGACCATCGTACCTTGACCAAACTCAGCGGGAGCTCTCCTGTCCAGCACGAGTCCATGTACTTCTTCAAGTCCTGATTCAGGTACTCAAAGACCAGATATAGCTTCTTCTGACTGTGCACTACATCCAGAAGCCTAGAAATGAAACACAGCTATTGCCAGAAGAGCAGAGCTTAAGTCCTGCTTCTCACACTCACTCCTAGAGAGAAAAGGGGATGAAATCTTTCTTTTATAAGTAGATCCTTTTCCAAGCAGGCAGGTCACTATTGCCTTTGGCTGACTCAACATACTGCATGGGCACCTGCATTCTTTCACCTCCCTATGCAGACCAGCAGGCATGGGTTTGTCTAAATAGCAGCAATAGTAGGTATGGAACAGTAATGGTCCACATCTAAGCCACTGGAGATAAACTGAAGTCATCTGCTGTAGAAAAGGCCGTTGGAAATCATCTATATCAGTTCTCTTTCAGCTTCTTTTCTTCAGCGACTGACCATAACACAATTGTGCTGGTTTTCCCAGGATCTCCCTGGCAGCTCTCTAACCCTTCCACATTGCAGTAGCAGCAACTGGTTTGTAAATGAGACCAGAGGGCCAGTTCCAAAAGAGGTGTAAACAGGTCTAGCTTCAGGGACAGAGCAGCAGCTGAGGAGCTTTTTTTTTCCCTTTTTTTTTTTTTAAAAGAAACTTTTTGTGTTCCAAGTCATATCAGCCAAATCAAGCCCAAATCCATGAGTCAGTTCAGAACCGTAAGTGGCCCTACAACTGGCAAACATCCTCCACTCCCACCAAGGGCTTCAGATATTTCCAAAATCTTTTGGCAGCCATCCTACGTGCAGTCTCAAGCCCTGAGGCTCGGGGTTTAGGTGACCCCAAGTTTTGCCTCCGCTCAGCCATACGGCCGCAGGAACAAGCTAACAAGAAGCCTCCTATTTCCATAAAATGGGCATTAAGTCCCAACACCTTGGCGGGTACTAAACCACACCAGAAAAACAGTTATCCCCGGGAAGCTTAAGAAAAACTGCCTTCTTGGACCCAGATACATGGTGTTTCCCCTGCCAGGTAAGCAGCAGCTGAGGAGCTGGCCTGCAGTCGCTGGCAGGATTGGAGGGCAGGGATAGGAATGGTCTGAAACCCATCCCTGCCAGGTGCACGGACAGTGCTGAAAAGGACAGGGAAAGGCTGATGAAGGTAAAAACAAAGCCAGCAGGAAGGGGCATTACCCAGAAGCACTGAGCTGCTGCAGTCCAAGCAGGTCAATCTCAGAGCAGCAACTAGTGCTTGGATTTCAAGCAGGGGGGGAGAGAAACTGTCTGGGAAAAGCCTTTAAGTGATAAATGAGTCTAGGTCAGAAAAACAGGATTGTGGCCAGGCAGTTCAGGGTAATTTTGGCAAGTTCCCAGTGCCCTGTGGGTTGGGAGCCTGGTGCCTTCCATCGGCAAACAGGGTGTTGTGTTTACTTGTGATTGCTACACCTGATTACGGTTACCTGGAAGCATATGTATGCCACAGGTCCTGAAATGGTAGTTCCCAGCCATGCTATCTGAGGTGCAGTTTTTTTTCTCCATGATCTCAGCAAGGAGACTCATGTTAACAGAAGGACAAAAAAAGTCAAGGAAATTCCCAGGCAGGATGGAAACGTGTATTACAATTCTGAATAGAGGGGGAAAAAACTGCAGAAGGAAAAAGAAGAAACCCATTAAGCCAACAGAGCTCTAACCTTGCCCCTCCAGGAAACCCCCCCAGCTACAAAAAGAGCTGCGAGCTTTTCCACTGCCTTGTATCATGGGAATGTTCCTACAGAACAAGAGGTAATGGTCTCAGATTGCAACAAGGTTTTATACAATGGATGACTGGGGGAACTTTCTAACTCTGAGGGGGATTAAGCACTGGACCAGATTCCCAAGAGAGATTCTTCATTATTGGAAGGTACTGAGTGGAGGCTGGACAACTATTTAGCTAGGATGATTCTGCCTGAAGTAGGGGGTTGGAGTAGGTGACCTCCTGCGGTCCTTTCCAGCCCTACATTTCTATGATCCTGTAACCCCCCAGCCTTTGATAGGTGCTTTTATCACTTGAAAAATAATTACATGCATTGTATAGGTAGACTGTGAATAGAAAATAATTCTTGTAAGTGATGGGAACATGTCTTGGCACTTGCCTTTTGATAGCCAAACCTTTTTACTTGACATACAGGAGGTGGAGGTCATCTAGTTACCTCTTCTAGTGTCCTGCTTGACAAAACTGAATGAAATCAGTAGTAGAGAAATCTCATTGCCATTGCCCAAGTAACACAATTCCATAAGCAGACCCCCACAGTGCTTCTCTTGCAGCATATGAAAACTGTGAAAGATTGGACAGCGTCTCTTGCACAAAAATGCAGGACAGTGGCTGGGCAAGACTGAGTTGTGGTAACTCCACTAATGGCTTGCAACCCATTAGGTGTCAAGGCAGTGGAGTGCTTGTGGTACCCAATACCAGACCCATGCCATGAAATAATAAAAGCGATGGCTAAAGTTGTTGGCAGTGACCTGACATGCCCATCACATGCATCTAGCTACAAAAGTCAAAGAAAAGGCTGAGCCAGAGAAGGCAAGGAAACTACATATGCATGTCTTCTTTAGTTGCTAGTTCAATTGACAAAAAACTAAATATGCATCTCAAGAGAAACCTGTAAAAGGTACAGGAAGGATGCCCTGTATGTGACAAATGCACCTTGCTCATGTTTCTCAAAACAGGCATCCAATGTCTAAGGTGTTACAAATGTCTCAACCATTCAGTGTCTGGAGTTTGGTAAACAGGCCATCACCAGTAACAGGTACTGCAAATTTGCCCCACTGATAAACAGATACCCCAAAACAGGTCTGGTAATGCCTCTAAGCATCCTGTTTGACCACTCGAGACCCATCATCTGTAACTAACCTATAATTGCAGCGGCTGCAGAGACACACAAGTCTTCACACCTAGGCAAATCCAAAACAGGAGCCAGGCAATTTAGCAGTTGTAATATGATGGTCACCCTTTTCCTTCCTGTTTGTTCGGACTCTAATCAGCCAACTATCATGGAAAAATGCTTTGAAGCTATATAATTAAACAGTATAAAGCAAGACAGAACTGCCAACAAGGCATGGGCAACTGGTGCTGCCCTAGTCGGGGGGGGAGTATGTGCCCCCCAGCAACCAGCCAGCAACCAGGAGGCAAGGGGGGGTCCCCCATGGCCAGTCTTGATGACCCGGGGGGGGCCCTACAGCCGATCTTACTGTTCGGGGCAGGGGGGGCTGATTGCTGTGGCTGGGTGGGCTGACCGCTTCTGGAAGTGGCTGCAGCTGCTTCTGGGAGCGCAGTGGCGCTCCACTCCCCGGCCGCTGCTTGCAGGGGGGCACCGACATTCCTGCCTGCCCCCCCGCCCATTGCCTTGCGGCCAGTCATGGGGTGCACCAGTACCCTCAGGGGGTGCACATGCACCCCTGTGTACCTCCTACACATCACCATTGCAGCAAGGTGTGTGCAGTCCAGGGAAGACCAAGAAGCCATCCTGCCACCCAGACGATAAGCAAAGGATCCAGGCTGTGAGGCTGTACAAGAACTGCTTCCTGCCTGCCTTGGAAAAAGACCTCTTTGCAGCTCAGATCATACAAGGACTGATACCTCATTTTATATTGGGAAAGAGTCTTTTTCTGTCATTTAGTTTTGTAGCTTGTTGGCAGTTATTAAAGCAAGCCTTTCTGCTATTCATCCACTCTGTCAATTCTTAGAGCACTAGGTTTAAAAACCCGTTTTTAAGTGCAACGCTCTTACCTGACTATGTTTGGATGCTTAAGTTCCTTGAGCAGTGAGATTTCTCTGATTGCTGTACTGGGAACACCTTCGGTCTCCCTGTGGGGAAGACGGGCTCTGTGTCATGGTACACTCATTGCAATCCCATAGTTCTCCAGGTATATTACTGGCGAGACGCCAATGGATGCAGCTCCCAGATGTCTTCCGTTCTAGCCTTTCTTTTTGGTGGACACTTACTATATAAATCATAAGGTGCTTTGACTTAGGAGCTCCACTAGCCTGTATCTACCTGACTCAGACTCAGGGGGTCAGACCAGCTGAAGATGAGTGAGACACCCAGCTGGGATCAGGTTTCCAAAAAGAGCCATAAATGACTAATGGGATTTCCTGGGTGAGGAGCTCTCTTGAAAGCCAGGCCTTTATTTAGACCAATTAAAGGGAGTCTGTTAGTCCCACTGGCATGGACGGGGTCAACTCAGCTGCGCGTCAACAGGGTTTGCACGTAGCATACGTGTATCCACACCAGTGAGACTGGGGTTGCAAAAGCCCTGCTGAGGGGGGCTGAGGCGGCAGGACCTTGCAACAAGGAGTGTAAAACCCTGCAGTTTCTGTGGCTATCTGAGGTTGGTTTGTTGCTCTCAGGCTAAAGTACGTTTCTTGTCGCTAAGAGCTTTTAGTCAGCAGTACTGATCAGTCGTGCTGGACTGATGACCCTGGGGGGCTGTAACCAGGATTTCAATCTTTGCCAATAATGCACCATACATGACATCGGCTGGATCCTAGCTCTAAGTTTTGATTTACGCTTGACTAGGATAATTGCTTTCAAGTATGACTGAGCTGCCGCTTTCTCACTGACTGAGATTTCGCCCCCTTTGTGTGTCCAGACCTGCCACAGACAATCTCAGCAGGGCACTCTCGTGGTTTCTTCACGCTGTGAGGTGCTCTGCATAACCCCGTTACAGCAGGAGCTGCATTTTGAAAACCACTCCCAGCCCTACCACAGGGTGACCCAATCTTTTGGCTTCGAGCTCAGGTTCGTGGCCTGGGTCTCTGCTTAGTGGATTTCAGACACTCACGAATCGAGACGGATTTTCTTCAGAGCCACCAGCTGCCCCGTCTGCTTGTTCCTAGCTTTGTAGACCACGCCATAGGTTCCTTCCCCAATCTTTTCCACCTTCTGGAAGACCTCCTGGAACATGTCCATGTATCTGCTTGCTGCCTTGGATCTGCAACATGCCCTCGATGCATTAGTAGGGGTTCCCCTTTGCCATTTTTCTTGGGCATTGCATTCTAAAGAGGAGGACGTCGTGGCTCCTGTACCTCTACCAAAATGTTAGATAAGCGAAGGTATTGCCTTAAAAGCTTGCCACTGTAATACCCTCATCAAACCTCTCCCAACCCTTGCAGATCAATTTCCCGTTGTTAAAATATCCCCCGAAGAGCCTCACTTGTACACGACCCTTCTTGCACGTCTCCCACATTAACCACAATTGACAAGCCCGTGAGCCCTCAACATGCCACGATGTCTTCCCAGTCTAACGGCACTTCTTAGAGCGGTGCTGCTATACAAATAAATAATGCATGCAGCCTGTCCAATACACCAGCAATTCGTTATGTGCTCTGGTTTGGGTTCTGAATGCATGTCTTGGTATATAGAAATGCCCTTCTTTGATCAAAAAATGGGTTCTTATAAGATAAATATGCTGGAGAACGGGTCTAGATGCCAAAAGCCTTGACTGATCCTGCCTCATGCCATCTCCATCTTTTTCCTCCCGCCGCCCATAAATTGCTTTTTACCCAAGACTCCTCCATGTCCTACACAATATTGTTCCTTACCATCCACCGGTTCAATAGCATTGGCTGTTTTTTCTAATGTTTATAATGGTGCAAAATCCGCCTCTGCGTGCATGCATTTCCCAACCACACTAACCCTGTACTGAAGTTCCTAAAGTCCATGCTCATGCCTGGAGAAAACAGTTGCCACTGGTTAACTTCCCCGTGCTGTAAAGGCAGCACTGTCCTTTACTGATTTCAAAAATTTTTGCACGAACAGCTGGCCCCGCAGCCTGTAAAACGGATGGATTTGCATTCATCTGCCTGCCCAAGGAGCTATCGAGGGAATTACATTGCTTGGGTAGCGCTTGTGGACAGCCTGGAGCTTGCCTGTTCAGCCACTGCATGCAGCCCGAACGCAGCTGTCCCCAGCCGGGTCCACTGGCCTTCTGCTTGCCATGTGCCCTTCCTCCCATCTACTGAGTCCCTAAAGGGTCAAAACTCATCTGGACTCTCATTCCCCATTTGATTTCTCCACCAGGGGGAGATATGCATGCGGTGCAGTGTAGAGGGCCTGAGTGCTGTCCCCGTAAAGGAAGGAAATTTGTGCAGCTAAGTCATGTTGCATTCTTCCAGATGCCGGCTGGCATGGAGGGGAAGGGAAAGGCATAAAGAGGCAAGCAACAGCAGAAGAAACAGACTCTGATGTGGTATCAATGCAGTTCATCGTTCCAATAATCCGGATCAATCTCTCTATGGACGTAAAAGTCGTGGGAAATGGTCAACTGAAAAGTACAAAACAAAAAAAAAAGTGGAAGATCAAATGATATTCTCAAGGATATGAATGTGGTCTCCCTGGCAAGGAGCAACTGAGACCCACAGATTGCAAGCTCTCTGGAACCCAGATGTTTTGTTCTGGGTTTCTACAGCACCTAGCCCAACAGGCTCCTGGTATTATGGATGCTATCCGAATACTAATAAATATTAACATCTAAAACTTATCAGCCTAGGTACAGCTGCTTTCTCTGACATTTTGAAGAAAATAATGGAGCGAGGGGGAATAACTCTATTGGTCAGTCTGAACATCAGTGGCCTTCGATACGGAAAATGCTGATGAATCTGTCTCAAGAGGCTCAATTCCAATGTAAAGCCTTGAAAACAGGCCTCTCTAATCTTCACTGTCTGTGTTAGCTGCTGTTCTGTGTTCCTCTCACATGCTCCTTAACTTTGTAGGATGGCCTGCTCTACATGGACTGGTACAACCCACCCAGCGCCTGAGTTTTTTGGCATGGTAGGTAAGACTACACGCTAAGAGTGACTCGAAACAAGCCCTTTTGTTCCACTGCTGGCCTATTTGCTCAAAAACTTTACTACCCCAAATAAAAGCAGCATCAGGTTACCCAGAAAACCTCTATGGAAAATGACTAGTAAATTGCAATGTTCTGAGGACGTTCCTCACCTGGACTTCGGAGCAACCTCTTGGGAGCCTGTCTCTGGGCTTAGATTGAACTTGCAGCATGCTAGGACAATGCTGTAGGAGTTTAATTACTATGCGGAGCAAAATGCAAGGAAATGTCATCCTTACAAATTTAAGGTAAATCTTATGCACTCAATGTCAGGAAGCTTGTATCATGGGACACCACATACCCCAATATCCTTCTGACTTCTTTCTTGGGAAACCCGTCACTAACATTCCCCCCAGGGTATATTCACCTCAGATGTGGTGAGCTGAAGAAATAACTGAGAGTACAAAATGTTCTGCATTGGGCTGCGCAGTGTGTTCTGCTTTCTAGCTCACCTAAGACCTTGGTGTTCTTGTCACAGCTTGGGATCATCTCTCTCTTGCAATCAGACCTATTCTCTCCCACCCCCTACTAGTATTTTTCTGTCATTTATAAAAAGGGTGGCTTTAGTTAAGCAAGTGGTTTGTGCTGGGTGCCCTGAAGCTAGACAGGGCTTGATGATTTCTCATGTCCTCCTCCTGCTGTAGCTCTTCCAAAGTCCAGTCCCCTTGAAAGAAGCTTTTATGGACCCATTATTTTGAAAAGAAAAACCCATGCAGGGTTACAATCTACCACAGGGGTGGGCAAAATGTGGCCCACCAGGCCATTCTATCCAGCCTGCGGGGCCCCTAAAATTTTTAGAAAATTAATATTTATCTGCCCCTGGCTGCCTGTTATGCGGCCCTCGATGGCTTGCTAAAACTCAGTAAGTGGCGCTCTGCCCAAAATAATTGCCCGTCCCTAAACTACCATGTCATCGCTGGGGATGCAGCAGGGACAGATTCAGACACCCTAGGATGAAAAAGTGTTTTTTAATCCATCCCAGGAACAGGCTGGTTGCTTTCTTCATCTTTATTTATGAAAATCTCAGTCCAGAACATAAGAAATACAATAACAAAAAAAAACCCATAACAGATTTGGTTTTTTAAAAAGAAAAGCCCCCTTTTCTCCCCCCATACCACTTTCTCTCACCGTAGTTCTTTAGAGGCAAACAACTGGTTAAACTCTGTCTCAGGGGTATTGCAAACTTGTGTTTTGGAATGCATTAGGGCATATTCTTTCCTCGGGTATGCATGCGACTCCAACTGCTGTTCAGAGGCAAGCACTAGCCACTCTTCTCTCATGCTGTGTCTACACTGCAGTCCAGAGGGGTGTTTGTAGTATACAGAGGCACACCTGAGTCAGTTTTAATCTAGCTGACTTGAATCCTGATAGCAGCGAACTCACAGCAGCATCTGGTGTACGAGTATGCCTGGGTCTGTGATATATACTTGTCAGCTAAAATTTCTGCTGATACAAATTTGCTATATGTATGTGAGCTACCCCAGGTACATCTTGAATGTACCAGCCATGCTTCTATTGCACTAAAAATAGATCATCACCTATGACTTTATACAGGTTAGCTCTGTATTTGCAATGTATGGGACAGGGCATCAGCTGGTTATTCCTGAAGACCTGGGCTCAAATTCTAATTCAGATCTTGGGTGACAATGCGTTTGGCTTCCTGAATGGAAAGGCAGTTTTTCTTTCTCTACAATATTATTTCTAGACCAACTTAACAACAGAACAGTGAGAGTTCTGGGAATCAGGGCTGTGATACAGTAATAGAGTCATGTGAGCCCAAGACTGGAAGAGCAGAGAGCATTTCCAGTCCAGTGTGAGATGTGCTGGCGGATCTGAGGGGCAAAGCAGCTTAAGCCACAGTTATCCTCCACTTTGGTCACCCACAAAAAGTTGGAGGTGAGAATATAATGGGGAAAAGCAACCTTCTGAGGTTGCTCAATATAATAGGGAAAAGCAACCTTCTAAGGAAGAAAATCCCTAAAGGTGAGTCCAAGTTTTGGGTGCTCTGAGAACATGAAACAGATTGGAAAGAGACAGTGACTTCAAAATCAAATGAGGAGCTTGTAATGTTTACATGACAAAAGACCTTATGGAGAGAGGGCAGGTGCTAGATTAGATGTATTGCCTAAACCTAGGATCCAGCCCAGCAGCAAGTCCTTGCAATAGCAGGATGCTAAGAGGCATTGCTCTCCACCTGCCCCTGTCTGTCTTGGAAATACTTCCTCTGCTCCTGTATGGCTTGCTCCAGCATGGACAGATTCATCCCTTCCACACATGTCAGGACTCGAGCCTTCAGCACGGGCCCTTCACCTGTGAACAGAAAATAACTAATGTAGTTTTTCTACAGGAAAAATGTTATGGAGCAACTTCCAGGAAGTACAAAAGCAGGAGAAAGAAAGCTGTAGTTGGAAAGCCCATGGAAAGTAAGGCAGAGATGCCCAAGGACACAGTTTTATATAGAATCAACTGGAGCATGACCCAGAGTTGTCGGTTCTGACCCTTACAGGCTGGGCACGACTCTCCAGTTTCTCGGACTGTTCCGTTTCCGTATCTGCAAGAATGGGGATAATTTGCGACGGCAGCACACAGTTAAAAGCATGTCTGTTTGCAAAGTGTTTTGAGACGGTTGGTGGAAGCCAGGAGGAGTAGTATTGTATTGCAAGTCAGTTATGTAATGCAAATCTCCAAGTGTCCTACAAGGTAATTAAGAACTCCAGTGATTGATTTATTTTTTCCCTGATATGACCTGGAACAAAACCACCCAGTTGCTTTTTGCAACCCTATAGCCCTTCCAAGACTGTCTCTAGAAAACAGCTAAGCCTATTGTCCGGGCCTGCTAGCAAATTATACTACAGCAGAGATTGGCAAAAATTTTGGGGCGAAGTGCCAAAAACACCCCAACCTCAACTTGTAAGATGTTGGTGTGCCAGAGGCAGATGGGGGAGCTGCTCCTGGTTGTGGTAGCACAGCCCCAACCCCTTCTCCATCATATGGATACAAACCCCTGGAAAGCCGCTTCAGGCTCAATTCCAGGAAAAACTCCTTCACAGTCAGGGTGTCCAGACTGTGGAATAAACCCCCTCCAGTGGTGGTGCAGTCACCTACCCTGGAAATCTTCAAAAGCATACTGGACAGTCACCTCACTGGGGTCACTGGACCCCAGTTGTCTTTTCCTGCCTAGTGCAGGGGGACTGGATAGTTGCTTTGGGTGGAAAAGGTGAATAAAATAGGCCAGAGGCTGAACTGGAGCATGCATCAAGTGCCCCTTCCCCCCTCTCCCCTCATGCTGGCAGCACTTCTAGACCTGGGCAGGTCATTCTTCACCCAGACCTGCCCAGTGCCGAATGAACAGTTCCTTACCCATATATAAGGCAAACAAAGACGTACCATCCCTCTGTTCCATGTCTCCCAAGGCCACATACAGGGACCCAAGCTGGGCTTGGAACGGTTCCACAAATTTGGTGCAAACACGGACCTGGTGCTGGACTGAGTTGCGCTGGGCTGTGAGGATGGCTTCAGACTGGGCCAGGTCATAGCAGTGCAACCTGAAAACAATTGATTTGCTAAACTCAGCTGCAACAGCCCTCAGAAGTGTGCTGACACACCCAGGATATGAAGGAAATGCTGAGGGGAGGAAGAAGATACGGAAAGAAAGAAATGGCCTGGAAGGAGTCTGGGAACAGCACTCACCTGCCAAATGTCCTCAGTGTTTCCCCAACCCGGACAGGTCCAGAATTTATCTCCCAAGGGAAATAATATATGCCAGGATTGGGCAGCATCTTGCACAGCTGCTGCAAGTCCTATAAATGCACAAAATTCAAGGCAGGTGTTTGAAGGTTCACAGGATTCCCTTTATAGACGCCCACATTTACCTAGAACTGCCCCCCTTATGTATACAATGAAGGTCCACCCTTGCCTTTCATATCATATTTAATTCATTTTTGCTAAGTTCTAACTATAAATAAGTATCTTCAAAGTGCTGCACACTTCAGTGCATCCCCTCAGCAACCACACAATACAAGTATACTTGTTCCAGGTCTATGCGTATCAAAGCTGAAGAAGACTGAGGCTGCCAGAGGCCTCCAAGGACTCACAAAAGCTAAGGCTAAAGAACTCATGAGCTTTTGGGTCCCACTGCTGTTATCAAGCCTCTAGATTGTGGCTTCTCTCAAAAGATCTTGGAGACCCGCTGAAGTATGTGAATGCAACACTAACTACACGGCTCGCCGGTGAATGCTCAGGTGACACAGCATGAAGCTTACAATACGAGCCAAATTCTGAATATTTTCACTGGGTGTTTTTCAGGCCATGTTTGGGTCACAGGGAGTACTCCTGGCTGGCTTCCCCACTAAAAAGCCTTGTGTCAGATATAAAAGGCCATTGACAGTCTCTCTTCATCCAGATCTGTTGTTTCCAGGGCTGTCCCATTTCAGTGCTGCAGGAAGAGGGGCCTATCATTATTTGGATCACAACTTTCCAAGGGATGTATGCAGAGAAAAATAGGGTGTGAGAAGTAGTTTGCTTCAATATATGTCTATGGCAATCAGGCTCCATAACAATATTTAAGAACTCTACAAAGACTTGCAGAGATCTCTCTCCAAGAGGCCTATCCTAACTCAACACAAGGACTCAATGGGCCATAGAGCCCAGAGTCTATGGAGTAGTTATTCCTCAAATCAAGCTCTGATTCGAATTGCTCTAACAGATCAAAGCCAGACACCCCATGGCTTCTAAACTAGAGCTTATCTCTCTGTCCAAGATCCCCTTCCGCTGTTCCAGTGCCCATATGCACTTCCTGAGAGCAGGTGCCTCCGAGACCCAGGCCTGAGACAATGGGAAACAGAAGCCAACATCATTGTGGGCTGGAGGAAGAGGAAGCAAAGATCTCGATCCCTGGAGAGCTTGAGGAAGATGAGCTGAAATCCTGTCTGGGCAACCTAGGCCTGAAGGGGCACATAAAGGTCTCTGCTTCCCTCATATCCACTCAAGGCCTTAATCAAGACAGAGACAGCAAAATACTTCAAACAGGCTGGAAGGCAAGGGCAGATCCAGGGGGGTGCAGTGGTGCAGTTGCACCTCACACCCTTTCACTCCTGCGCTACACAAACTTTAAAACCAACTGTCTGGGAGGGTAAGTGGCACTTCTATTGAGGCTTACGGAGGGTTCATTATCACCTCCCTGTTTCCTGGTAATCTCTCTCCATTTCCCAAGTATTAATGACCCTTTTTCTCTCATAAGTATTGGACCCTTTTTATGTTCCATAATTAACTACCTTTTCTTCTGCAGTCTTGCTGTCTGTTAGCCATTTCTGGTAACGCCCCACAGACACCTTTTAGCTCCAGCTAAAAAACTTGAGTGCAGTAACTAACTCAGATGTAGAAGTAATTGACAGGGAGGTACAGGGGTGGATCCACCGGTGCACACCCCCTTTGATTCCTGCTCCACCCAAAATTTAAAACTAGCTGCCTGGCAGTGGCAGCAGCTTTTCTGTTCAGGCAGCAGAGACAGCATCAATTAAATTCATATGTCATTAAAATCTACCTGATTCCTTCTAAACTCTTCATTCTACAGGTGTGAACGACCCTCCCTCCTTTTGAATGATCTTTAATGGTTCCACTAATCAAGCTATCCTTTGTTCTGCAATCCTGCTGTCTGTTAGCCATAGTAGCTGCTCCTAGTAACGCAGCTCCCTCAGACTGCTTTCAACTCTAGCTAGAAACATTAACTGAGGTATGGAAGTAACTTTCAGTGAAGCACTGGATGCATTAAGATGTTCAAGAAGGCTTGATTTTGTTTTATGAATCTGAAAGAGAGGCACATATAAGTCTAATGACTTACAACACTAATTAAAATCTTTGCTCTTGATGGCCCACCAATCAGGCTCGCCTTTCTTTTGCCTTTGGTGTCTCCTGGCCAGTCCTGATAACCTCTCTTCTACTTCACAGCCCTACCGTCCATTCTAATTTCAGCTAAAAGCTTTAACTCAGGTGGGGTAACGTTAACTTAGACAAATATTCACTTAGGTGTGGAAACGACGAACAGCAACAGCAATGTGTAGGCTGCCCTGTGAAAAAGCTAAGGGATGGTAGATCGTGTTTCTGGCACCCGAAAGAGAGAGATATGTTAAACCATAACACCAACAGGGCTAAGAACACAGGTATCTCTGGACTGCTTTGGCACAGCCTGTTGCATTTTTTTAATATAAGGTGTCATGACTTATAAGGACAGGTTGAGGGAACTGGGTTTATTTAGTCTGGAGAAGAGAAGACCGAGAGGGGATTTAATAGCAATCTTCAGCTACCTGAAGGGGGGATCAAAAGAGGATGCAGCTGGACTACTCTCAGTGGTGGCAGATGACAGAACAAGGAGCAATGGGCTCACATTGCAGCAAGGGAAGTTTAGATTATATGAGGAAGAATTAGGGGCATCTATACACATATCTTTGTCTGCTCCAACGCCTCGGAAATCCAGCGCGTTGAAGCACACTCAGTTAATCGAGTCTGCTGAGCACGTGAGCTGACGCACCCGGCGCTGCATCGCATGCATTTGTATAAATGGTAAAGCATGCATCACTGCTGAGAAAATGGCAGCAGCATGCTTTTTAACTAAAATACCTCCAACCTATTTTAATTCAAAAGAGTGCCACCGCCACTTTCTCAGCACTGATGCATATTTCACCATTTATACAAATGCATGCAATGCAGTGCCAGGTACTTTTGAAAGCACCTGGCACTGTGGCACATACATGCCTTAGGAAGGTAGAGAAGCACTGGAACTGGTTACCCCAGAGGGCTGGTGGCATCTCCATCTTCGGAGGCTTTTAAAACCTGGATAAACAAACCCTTAGCTGGGATAAGCTAGTTGGGGCTGGTCCTGCTTGGACTAGCTGTGACCTCCTGCAGTCCCTTCCCACCCTTATTATCTATGATTCTATGAACCAGTGACGTTGCATTAATTTTAGTGACGTTGCATTTGTTCAAGTGACATCACATCCATCTTTACTTCACTCTGCAGCACGGTAACGTAACGTAACGCAGCCCAGCCCAACCCCGCCCCGCCCCGCCCCCGATCAGTAAATTTTCTCTGGACCCGAAGCAGGGGAGCAGGTTCCCCCCTTGCATAGCTCTAACACAGGGGTCATCTCCCCCGCGCCCTTACCTCCACTCCCGCCTCCCAGCGCGTCCAATCGCCGCCGCCTCCGGCTCCCACGTGACCGAGCCCTGGGGCTCCGTCCCTTCAGCAGCAGCCACGTGGGGGCGGGTCTCGCCCAGCCAGAGCCTCCCCCTGATTGGTTCTTCCGGGCAGAGTCCCCGCCCCGCCCCCGGGGGGGAGGGGGCGGAGGATGGAGGAACTCGAGTGTCACGTGACGGCGGCTCCGCTGGACGTGCGGGCTGAGGGGCGGGGCCTGGCCGGTAGGTCGCTCCCGGCTCGGTGACCAGCGCGCACCTCCGCTGCCGCCGCCATCATCATGATGAACCCAGACCTGCGCAGGGAGCGCGAGGCGGCTGCCTTCCAGCCCGAGCTGCTCACCCATGTCCTGGACGGCGGCGCCGAGCGCACGACCCGCCGCCGCGAGATCGGTGAGGGGGAACCCCTGCCCGCCGGCCCGGGACGCCCCGCGCCCCCAGGCCCCTCCCACACGCCCTGGGAGACCCCGCCCCCTCAGTCCCCCGCCTACTGCTGAA